CCTGACACCCTGCCACAGGTGACTGTCCCAGCAGTCAGCCCTGCTGAAGCCTTTGTGGCCCAAATCCCCAGAGCAGACACAGGTTTAGAGCTGTATTTGTGAGCTGTTGAGTTCTGTGGAAACATGAATCTTACAGAACCTTGGTTGATGTCTGGCACCTTGGAGCAAAAGCTGACACCATCCTGCTGATGGGTTTTATGGCTTGAAAAATGATTGGTTTTGAAAGGTTCATATTCCTGGGGCTGTTTGTTGATGGGAGAGAAAAGTTCAGGTATTTTGGTCTTTGTCATGATGGAAGACCTGTGTCCCTTCAGTATAAAAGTGGAAGGAATAGTGGAAGGTGTCCCTGCCCATGCCAGCGGGGAGCGACTGGATGGGTTTTCAGTCCCTTCCCACACAAATTCATGAATTCCATGAATCCAGCCCTTCTCTCCCTATTGGGGCTGGTACAGAGACCTGATCTGCAGGCAAGCAGCTGTTACAGAATCCATGGACCTGGGCAGGGTTCACACTTCACATGTCTTCTGGTCTCACTGTGCTGTCCTTTAGCCCATGCTGGAGCATCATCAAACAGCATCATTTACCCTAAGGACTAAGAGAAACCAGGAGGCCTGAGACTGGGTTAGTGCAGCTGCAGGGTTGGGGGGATGAGCAGCTAAAAGGGGTTTATTTTCCAGCAGGAGGAAGGCTGTGGTGTCACTGCCCCCCACCCCTGCCGTTTCTGTGCTGCTTTGAGCAGGTCACCCCAGTGCTGCTTCCCCCAGAGCTGGCAGGATGGGGCAGGAAGGTGGGTGAGGAAGGGACCAGCAAAGACAGTGACAAGCTGTAGGAAGGTCCCCTCAGGTCTTTTCAGATGTTTCCCAGTGAGTGTAACTCTGCATATGGAGAATTTGAGATCAAAGCAGATCTCCTCCACATCACAGATCCCTGCATCAGATGGTGGAATCACAAGGTGGTTTGGGCTGGGAGGGACCTCAAAAACAGGGACACCTTCCACTAGAGGGAATCTTGTTCAGCCCTAAATAGAAGTTGGAGTCAATGCATAGCTGTCATGTTCTGGCCCAAAAAACCCTGATTCAGGTAGGCACTTGCTGGTTGAATTGGGTGGAAATCCTCAGGGACGGGGACAGCAGTGTGCCCTTGGCCAGAGGATCTGTCACAACATTCCCATCAGGTCAGTGAAGATCTGTGCCACCAGAAGTGCCATTCGTTCACCATGCAGGAAACAGAACGGGGCTGTGACCCTCGTGCTGCTGTGTCCAGTGTGTGTGCAGTGCCCTGCTCCTCGTGTTCCTGCCCAAGGCTCAGGAGGAGCCTTCCCAAGGCTTACCTGTCCCTTACATGTTCCCTGACATGTCCCTTACATGTTCCCTGACATGTTCCTTTCCATACCCCACTCGTCAGGCTCTGTGGGCCAAGAGTTGGGCTGTGTTTTTTCCCCCCTACCTGTGCTCACCTTTACCTCCTGTCTGTCCCTGTAGCACAAACCACGGCCACCGTCGCCACCCTCCCCTGACGAGGTCCCCATCAATGTCAAGCAGGCCTACAAGACCTTCGCAGCAGTGCCCCTGTCCCA